TTTGTGGCCCCAAACACCATAAATAACCTTAGAAAGAAATGAAATCTGGTGAAAAATTTTTATCAGCTAATATACAATGAAGGAGCCCTGGTGGCACAGTTAAGCACATGACTACTATTGGAAAGGTTGGCCATTCATACTCATCCAGAGGTGCCTTAGAATACAAGCCTGACAATCTGCTTCTGAAAGTTTACAGGCTTGAAAACCCAATGGAGCAGTTCTACTCTGCACATGTGATGTTGCCATGAGTTGGAATGGACCCAACAGCAACTAACAACTATATACAATGAGCTCATACAAATCAGTGGCACAATCTGAACTACCAAGAGAAATATTGAGTAAAGTCATGAGAAAGCAACCTATAAAAGAAGAACTGTAAGTGGCTAATAACCTACATGAAAAGATGCTGAAATTTACTAATAAACCAAGAAATGCAAATTTAACAACCCCATCATTTATATTCCTAGAAGACTGACAGATGTTTATAAATGTGTCTGTATGTTCCCTCTGGTATACATAGATACATGTACAAGGATATTCATTGCGTCATTGTTTGTAACAAAAGTACCCAGAAACTACCTAAATGTCCATTGATAGTGGATGGATTAAATATATCACGTTCATACTGAGATAAACATACAGCTATTAAATAAAAAGAAATATATTTGTATGTTTTGACATAGAAACATGGCTAAGACATATATCTTAAATTAATAAAAAACACTATGGAATTCTTTTGTTGTATTTTTTAATTAAAATTTAATTTTGATATAATTTCAAACTTACATAAAAGGTGCAAGAGTAGATTGAATTCCTGTTTACCCTTTGCCTGAAGTCTCACGTATTATTTATATTTCACCCTATTTGCTATATCCTTCTCTCTCTCTCTACATATATATATATATACATACACACATGTATGTGTGTATGTGTGCGTGTACATACACATATACTTATTATTATATAAGAGGGCAGTGCTGGTTAAGTGGTAGAATTCTCGTGTTCCATCTGGGAGTCTTATGTTTGATTCCTGGCCAATGCACCCCAAGTACAGAGACCTCTTGACTATCAGAGGAGGCTTGTGTGTAGGTATGATGTTGACAGGTTTCAGTGGAGCTTCCAGAATAAGAAGAACTAGGAAGGAAGGCTTGGCAATCTGCTTCTGCAAATCAGTCAATGAAAACCCTATGGATCACAACAGTCTGCTCACAACTGCTCATAGACTTTGTGCAGGACTGGGCAGCATTTCGGATCTGGGTACCAGATAGATTCATTGCTTCTTTTGTGATGTCGCTACTTCTAGGCCTCTTAGGGGACTAAGCTAGAAAATGTGTACGTGTGCATGTGTGTTAGTACATATATGTGTGTACAATTATATATACATGTACGATTGTGTGTATGCACACACACATATATGTATACACAAACTTATGGAAACATCTATCTATCATCAAACTATCTAATCATATTAAAAACATGACTTATTTACTACCAGTTCCAATCCAATATCATAAGGTATAATCTAACCTGCCTCCTTTCAATTTTTATAACTCCTCTCAGCACATCAACTAGTTAAAATGGCAATTCTTACATAACATATATGTATATATAATAGGATATATACACAAATACTTACATATAGCCACAATTTTTTAAATAAATTTTTTAAAACTATGAGAACTGATTTGGAACCAGTGTTATCTCTGAGTCACTTTCCCAAGCCACAATGCACTTTAAGAAATGTTTTCACTTCAATCTTTCCTCTAAATCGACAGAGACTTGGGAGCCCTCTGAGGTCCATCCTTGAATATAATTTAACTGGACTTTCTGCTTGCGGCTGGTGGTAAGAACTGAGCTCCCTCTGCAGCCCAGAGAACACAGAGGTGGAGAAATGAGGAAGGGTGGGTGACACTTCATTGCTCAGAACCAAAGACAATTTTTTGGAAACACATCTGAACTGGGTGAGGTCCTTGAAATCACTTGTCATGTCTTCACGTCACTGACATCTTCACCTCTGTCTAGGGCCAAATCCTTTTGGTTCCCAGAGTCTCCTTCATAAAGGGAAAGTAGGACCTGTCTCACTTTAGCTGGGAGGTAAGAAACTAAGTTTACATGAGTTGGAGAAGGAACAAGGGAAGACCAGAAAAGTTCTCACTCATAAAATAGACCTACACGTGCTAGGCACTGCCTAGGTACCATAGAGACTTAATTGGATTTAATACAAGTGACAACCTTATGAAGTCAGGGTTATTATCTCCTTACTGGATATTAAGATATGAGCCTCAGAATATCAGAGCACTGTCTAAGGTCACAAGCTTGTCAGTGGTAGAAACTGGGCTGGAACCATTTCTTCCGGAGTCCAAAGCCTTGCTTTTAACCTGATAACAATATATTTCAAACAGAGGTTCATAAAGCCAATTTACTGAGTCAAGGCTAGCATTAAAAATGAAATGTAATAGACAATGAAAGAAAATATCAAAGTTCCTCACATAAAGTAAGGGTAAGCGTTGTTTTGTTTCAATTCTGTTTTATTCCTGTCTGTGCTGTTTGTGTATGTGTGTGTCATTGTGTTTGGGTTACAACGTAACATAAATTTCTTATTGTGGGCCTTGGTAAAAATGCTTGAAGGCCAATGTGCTATATAGAACATACCACATACTGTGCTATATACTATATGTTGTTGTTGTTGTGTGCCATTGATTCGATTACGAGTCATAGAAACCCTATATGACAGAGTGAAGTTGTCCCATAGGATTCTCTAGGTTATGATCTTTACTGAAGCAGATCACCAGGTCTTTTCTTCTGTGGAGCAGCTAGTGTGTCTAACTGCCAGCTTTTCAGTTAGCAGCCAAGCACTTAACCATTATGCCACGTCTAAATCACCTGGTACATAATACACAGGCAAGAAATGAGAGTGAGAACTATAATTATGTCTCTTTTTATTTTTGAAGAAAGTATTGTTACTATCTTAAGTAATAAATAATTCAGGCTTAGAGAGGTTAAGAGTCTTAGTTATGGTTACACAGCTAGCAAGCTGATGGTCACAAACTTCTCTGGGGGCAGAAACCAAGCCAATCATAACCATATCCTCAGGCTCATGGTAGAGTTCAGACTTGACAAATGTTTGTGAAATGGGCCCCAAATCTATGAATTGTCCCCAAATAGTCCAATTCTGCAGTGCAAAATAACTTTTTCAATACACTTATCAGTGCTTCAGCAGATTGGCCAGGGACATTCTAGGACAGGTTGAGTTTTTCAGAGAGGCAACATAACGTGGAGACTTCATGAAGGTAAGTCAAGAAAAGGGGTAGTGAAAAAGTAAAAGTGAGCAGAAGCATTACCAGGGGTAAAGTGGACCCGAGAAGGAAGGCATATTAACAAAGAGGGAAAGCCCATGGAAAGAGGCTTTGGCAGGATTTCCCAAGAACAGCACCACTGTCCATAAAGGCTTGGGTTGCTGTACAATCCTTGTTCTGGGCAAATGACAGCTCCAATGGTCAGGTGACCTTGTCCAGAACTAAGGATATCCATCCCAAACAGTACAGAAATTGGCCTGCAAATATTTTTAAGCACCATGTGTGGACATTGTACATACACTACTTTACTGAATCCTTCTAACAGCCATTTGAGTTGAGGTAGGTCAAAGTTCCCCCAGTTTTATCTACTTAGAAACTATGGCTCAGGGAGTTGAAGGGACTGACCCAAAGGTACAGGAAGAATAACTTAGAGCCAATATTTGAATCAGAGTTTGCCAGACTCTGAAATATGATTTTGCAAAGAGTAAGGTGACTTGGATTGGTGCATAAGATCTCCTACTCAATTCACATATGATCTTGGGCAGGTGGCTTCATCTCTTTGAACCTTGCTGTGTTCTTCTGAAAAAGGAGGGGGCATGAATGCTAATTATACCAATATATTGTGGGTATAAAGTGAGATATTTTGCCAAAACACCAAGATGAAAGTTTCCAAGACGAATATGTCTTCCTTCTTTGGCTAAACTGCTTCCATGTAATTATAAAATAACACTAACAATGGCAACAACCAAAAATAATAGATATAATGTATTGCATTTTTGTTCCTTTTCAACATTTTTTCGTCTCTTACTTGAAGGGGACTATCTTAATTGTCTCATCTATTCTTGCTTAAACTGACAGACTTGAGAAGGAGTATCATTTCCCCTTAATTTGGAGAAATTAAGAATTAAACACGTTCAAGTGGGAAATTTAAAAGCTAATGTAGGAGAAAGGAACCTTGGTTGTGTAGTGGTTAAGCACTCAACTGCCAACCAAAAGGTCAGCAGTTTCAACCCAACAGTCGCTCCACAGGAGAAAGATGTGGCCGTCTGTTTCCGTAAAGATCACAGCCTTGGAAACCTTATGGGGCAGTTCTATTTGCCCTATAGGGTCGCTATGACTGGGAATTGACTAGACGGCAGTAGGGTTTTGGTGTTGGGAATGAGGGAGAAGGCATTAAGACATGGGAGAAAGAACACAGTGTTTGATTCAAAGGGATCTTTGTACCCATACCTGATGTGTGATGTGGGCCATGTTTTAAAATCAAGGGACATATACATATAAGTGCTCATGGAAGTAGCAGTCAAGAATTCAAACAACATACAGCATTAGGCTAATCTGCTGCAAAAGACCTCTTTAAAGTTTTCAAATACAAACACGTCACTTTGAGGACTAAGGTGGGCCTGACCCAAGCCATGGTTATTTTCAATT